ATAATTTATATTTGGTCATGTTTGGTTCGTTATTGATTAAAATAAGAAGAAAAGGAAAATTAATTAAATGAAAATATAGAAATCTCTTTATCTAATAACCAGGCAAAGTATAAGAAAAAATAAATAAAATTCTCATAAAATTAATAATAATTATAAATTAAAAAAATAGAGAACTTACTTTATTTCTGTTGTTAGGACTTGAAAAACCACTTGAAATGTCGATTGGCTTCAACTCAGCAAAACCTTAAACTTCTCAAAACGTAAATCAAAATTGTCAAAAGGTTAAAAATTCTTTGGTTTAGGTAAAAAAAAAAAATTACATGAAAGTTGTTCTTTGATTTTCTGATCGATGAAGGCTTTTGGAAAGTGATATGAAGCTTTGTGGTTTCATCTACAAAACAAATGGTATGAACAAAGTTATTTTTACAATGCTTTAAGAAATCCACATTGATTTATTTATATGTGGAATATCGAAATCGACCAAAAATGTTCAAAGATATTTTTTATTTAAAACTTACAATTATTTATGTTCTTTGATTTTTTTACCAGTTATATAACTCTCATATTTTATTTTATTTTTACATTAATTACTGTAAAGAAGATATTTTTTTATTTTTTTAAAAATGAAACTGTAACTTGAGATTACAAGAAGAAGAGATTATAAAAGTTGAAACTTAATTTTAGAGCCGTCGAATGATAGATTGGTAGATAAAACAATTAAGTTAAATTTTAAATTCATATTTTTTTTATCTTTATATCTCAATGAATCTGTATTTTTTTTTTTTTAATTTAGCTGCAAGAAGTTTTTGAATTTCACTTGATATATTTTCATTCCAAACTGATCTAAATAGATTTATTTATATCGAATGTAACGAATTCATAAAAAAAATTATCATAGCCTTCTAACGGATTCAAACTCATTCCAAAACTGATGTAGCTTGTTATTGATCGATGTTGATTTTTGTTGGATAAATTACTATAAGAAGCTAAAATCTTACTTGTTAAAAAAAGTTGAATAATCAACAAGTGATTAATTTAATCGGCTAAATTTATCTTTATTAACGAAGAGTTCTTGGGTTCTAGTCTTGTTGGTGGCTATTTATTGGGGTCATATCGAATGCACGACCTGTAACCATCTATTTTAAACTGTCAAATATGACATATCTTATTATGATTTTAGGGACTGAACAATCTATCTACGATCGATTTATTCTTACAAAAACAAAGAGTTAAATAAAGAATTGACAATTAATCTAATTAATTTATATAATTATTCTTGAAAAATAATATTTAGTAGGAATTTAATTTAAAGCTCAATACTTATAATTTTTTTTCTATCTCCGTACTATAAACCTCTTTGTAACAAAAAAATTGGTTTAAAAGCCTTAAGAATATATGACTATGTAAAAAGAGGCCTGAATTCAATTTTTCTGATATATGATCAGTTTGGTCCCTAGGACCAAAGGAGCAATGAGTACCAAAGAGTTCATTTATCAAATTGAGACAGTAGGGAAGGGTAGCTTAGCAATGGTCCAAAAAAAATTTAACTCCACAAACTGAAGAACAAGCTTTCTTGGCCGGTTTTGATTTGAACAAAAGATCATATGATGATTCAACAGAAGAGAAGCTGAAGGGGAATGATTTACAAATTACCAACCAAGTTTTGGTTCCTGCCAATCTTGTGCTATTACCTGCTTGAAATATTTGTTTTCCTTGGTGGCCTAACCTGATCAGCTCGACCCTGGAGGAATCTTCAATGGCAATGCATTGATGTGGTGGCTGGTTTCTGATAAATTTAGAATTTAAATTTTAACATGTGTGACATCATTTGTAAAAATAAAATTAGGTCAAGTTATGAGAGCTAAGGCTGATCAGTCAAAACCCTAGTGATTTGTAGGTATCAGAGCTGCTTGGGTTTGTAACAGTTCCTTTGAATATACCTTGGACGGTTAGGTTGGACTTCAGAACTGCTTAGGTTGTTCTTTCCTCTTTGAATTGTAGCTCTGCAGCGGGTTAGCTTGTCCATGGAAATGATGCTGATTGGATTGGGGCCAATATGTCTTCATTTTGTATCTTTAACATTGCAAAATGCTAACATTAGATTGCTTGGCAAACTCAAATTCATCACATCACATGTCTATAATCATCAATTATGGACAAAAGCTATGACGTGGATTTAAATAACATGATATAAAAATAATATAATTAAAATTTTTTTTTGAAAAAATTATATATAAATGTGATAAAATAAAAATATATATTTTATATTTTTATTAAAAATTTAATATAAATATATTAATTATTAATATTTTATATTATATAAACACTCAAATTATCAAATTTAATAAAAATTCTTATGTCAATGATAAAATGAGGCCTCAAAATTTTAAGTTCTAGGTTGAAGTTTCAAAATTTTTTAATTATATATTGAGTTATTAATTATTTCTTTATTAGTTGTTATATATATATATATTAAAATGATTTGATTATAATTATAATTTTTATTAAGTTATAATTCAAAAAATAATTGTTGACATAATCTGTATATTGGACAATTGGGTCGGGACGAAGGCCTGGAGAGGACTTGAAAATAATTAAATAATAAAAATTATCATTTATTTTTTTTCTTAACTTAATTTATGCTAGAAAGAAGCCTTGACTTTGTACATATTGGCCTCTCACTTTAATTCATGGCTCCGCCCCTGTTTGAGATTAATAGAATTTAAAAGCTTATTCAATGAGGAAGTTAATTTCAACCACAAGTGAACTCAATTCAATTTTGTTCTTTGACTATAGCGGATGCGGGAGGGAGATGCGTGGTGTCACATCAAAGAACTCCTTTCTCAAGCTTTCTACCTAACTCACTCTACCCTCGTGAAAGATGAAAGGCTAAATTGTTTATGAAAGACTATTCTCGAGTTAGTAATTTGTATATTCGTCGGGTAAAATGGAGCGAGTATAGTCAAATTGATATAACGATAAATTTAAATTTGGTTTAAAATTTATTATTTGAAATTTAATTAAAATTAAAATTTTATATTTAAATTTAATTTAAGATAAAATTAAATTATTTAAATTTATTCAATTATACTTATTTATCGAATAAAAAATAATTTTAATTTTTTTATTTAATTTTAAATTTGATTATTTATATTCAAGCTTAAACTTAAAAATATATATATATATGATAAAATAATATTTTTTTAATTAAATAATTTAAAATATATATTAAAATATAAAAATTCAATTAGATTCGTAAACTATTTAAATTGAGTATTAAAATTCTTAAACTTAATTCGTTCAAGTTTAATTTAATAATAATTAAATCAAATTTAAATTTATTACAATCGAACTCAAATAATTTGTTAGTATTTATGTATCATTTATATCTTTATTCGTATTATGTAAAATATTGATAATTTTTATATTTATATCATGTTTTATATATAAATTATAAATTATAATTTATGTTGACATGAAAAATATAAAATATATTTTTTTAATTTTTATTAAAATTTTAAACCTATCATTTCATAACTTTTATTATATCACTTTTATATTATTTTTTTATATCATATTTTAAATTATCAAATATATTTTAATCAATAAAAATTACTTTACGCAAAATTTTTAAAAAATTTTTAGCTTTTAAATCTTAAAATGTTGAGTCTCGAAAAGGATCAAACTAGGCTTGCCGGGAGGTTTGGACATTAGTCGAGCTCGTTAAAACCTATAAAATGAGAGCGTCGGAAAGGTTTTCCTATAATTTTCTCTTCCAAGCTAAGGAAGAACATGCTTCGCTTCATCTTATTTTTAGTAGAGAAATGGTAGTGCAACGTGGCAATGTCCAATGACTCACTTAATTTTGTTAAATGTTATGGTGATCATAACTATATATTATACTCTTATTTTTAATTTACCTTTCCTTCCTTTGAATTGAAATAGCACATCATTTGAAATGAAAGAACATGTCCAATATTTTTGACTTGAAGACGACCAGCCGGTTTTTCGATGAGAGCAGTAGATTGCCTTAAGCACTTTTCCTGAAACAGATCTAGAAACCTGTTGAGTAATTTGATTACAAGCATTTGATTGCACGTAATTAGAGTTGTAATTGAATCGAGTCGAATTGATATAGTTAAAATTTTAAGTTCAAGTTTGATTCATAATTCAGAGTTTAATATTTGATTCGAATTCGATCAAATTTTATTTTTTAAATTTGAATTTGATTTATGAATTCGTTCGATTAAACTCGATTAATATATAAAAATAAATTCGATTCGTATACTCGACAAGAGTTCGATTATTTATGCTTAAACTCAGACTCGAAATATTTTATTAATTAAAATAATAAAAATATATTAAATATAAAAATTCGATTAGACTCACGAGCTACTCAAGTCGGATATAAAAATACTTAATTTCGATTCAATCGATAAATTAAATTATTTGAACTCGAATTTAACTTAAAATAATCGAATCAAATTTAAATTTTCTTCTAATCGAATCTAAATAACTTGTTAATATTAATATATTATTTATATTTTTACTCAAAATAATATGCGAAACGCAATCGATTGGCCCTCAATGATAGTTGATTGCTTTTTCAAACAAAATATCTCAATATATGATGAGATTTAAGTTTAAAACATCAAAATTTTAAAATTTTATTTTGTTATTAAATCAAAGTCTCATTGACAATAATTAAAAATTATTTAAATATTTAATTTAATTAATTTTTTTAATATGATAATTTATGGATTTATGTAATATCTATTTTACATTAAATATATATAAAATAAAAAAATAATTATATTAAAATTTGTGTTAATAAATTAAATATTGAATATTCTTTATTTTATCAAAATATAAATAATTTTTATTAAAAATTTAAAAAATATTATTTTTATATATTTTTACATTATTTTCATAGTCTATTATTCTCTAAAATTGTCCTATCCATCGCATGAAAAAACAAAAAAACCAACTCCATTTTTACTACCAATAAATTTATTCATTCAATAAAAAATTGCCCCCTCACTCCTCCCTAAAGCCAGCCCTATTTCCACCGCCTCTCACCCATCCGCCGGTTAGCCCCACTTTCTTGCACCACGCGCCGCCGTGCTCTAAAACCCTAATCAATATTTAATCTTTTCGGGCCCCACACTAAGATTCGTTGCAATCTTATACCCTTAACTAAGCACGTGCATGGCACGTGTCTAGCACAGTAACCCTTTACAAGCAGAATCGAAAAGGGTAAGCAGCTTTCGTAATCCCCTACCTTAAACCCACCCAACCACCCACCCACCCGCCGCCGGCGCCATGCAAGCCACATTTCTAACCTCACGCGCCACCTTATTCCCCACGACAGAACTAGTCGTCCCTCCTCCAAACGGCCGCCGATGTCTCCGTATAACTGCACAATCCCAAGCAACGGTAACAGCTGACCCTCCCTCTCCGCCTACAATAAAGCTCAACAAATACAGCTCAAGAATAACGGAACCAAAGTCACAAGGCGGGTCCCAGGCGATGCTATACGGCGTCGGATTATCCGAAGACGACATGTCGAAACCCCAAGTGGGAATTTCGTCGGTTTGGTATGAGGGGAACACGTGCAACATGCATTTATTGAAGCTATCGGAGGAAGTGAAACGGGGCGTCGAGGAGGCTGGGATGGTTGGGTTTAGATTCAATACGGTCGGAGTTAGCGATGGGATCTCGATGGGGACGAGAGGGATGTGCTATAGTTTACAGTCAAGGGATTTGATTGCTGATAGTATTGAAACAGTTATGAGTGCTCAGTGGTATGATGGGAATATCTCTATTCCTGGTTGTGATAAAAATGTAAGCATTTTATTTCAAAGTTTAAACTTTGCTATTTCTTTTGGTTCTCTGTTTTTGTAATAAATATGTGAGCTTTTTTATTCAAGCTTTAGTTTTTCTTCTTCTTTTTTGGGTTTTTTTTTTTTTTTAATTGAGTGTGATTGTTTCTCTTGATTTTGACTATATTTATTTATTTTTTGGTATATTGTGAAAGGAAAAAATGGTGTTTTGGTTATATGCTTATTGATTTTGATTGTGATAAAGTGCATAAAAGAAAAGGATGTAAGCTGCATTTCTCTGAAGAATGTTCCCTATTTGGTTTAAATGGAAAAAACCAATTAAAGTGATCAATTACGTTTTATTGAAGTAGCTTTCTGTTAATGCAATTGTGTTTCAAGAAAATTCAACAATCATAAATTGTAGTGTGAAACATGTTGTCTTTCACAATTGTGCATTATCTCAATCTAATGCTAGCTAGTTCTCTAGATGCCAGGTACAATTATTGCAATGGGGAGGCTCAATCGGCCAAGTCTTATGGTTTATGGTGGAACTATCAAGGTTTGCTGCTTTGCTTTGTCTAGTATAAGTGCTTTAAATGGACTACCGATGTTCTTTCATTGCAAATGGCTCATTTAGGCATGATATTTTACTAGTTTTGCTCTTACAACATTCTGTGGTAAGTTTTCTTTGGTACATCACTACTTTTTTTTTTTTTAAATTCTTAACTAAATATTCGATAAGGCCGTAAGGATTGGTTTCGAAGTGGAAAGCACTCATTATCATGAATACTATATTCTTTTCTAAATTGCAGTGTAATTTACATGTTCTTGACTTTTCTTATCAATGCATCCCCACCAAAAACCAAATGGCTACATCCATTGGGCCTAGTATACAATGTAGGGATGCTGGCAAATATGTATGCCAAAAATTGTCTAAACCTTTTTAAAAGAATTTGAGGCATCAAATGTTCTAAGTTCTAAACTGAAATTTATTATATCATCATACAGTAGTCTGTCATAAATGAGATTTGTTGCAATCTGTTGCTCTGCTTCTCCTCTCCCTTTCATTGTTTCTTATAAATCATATATTCATTTAATATACTCAAGTGTAGTTCATTAAAATTCTGGTATTTTCCCCCTCTGCAAATTTAAATGGTTATAGGTTGTCAATTTTACTTATGCATTGATTTATTTATTTATTTATTTTTGTACTTGTTCTTTTGCAGCCTGGTCATTTTCAAGGCAATACATACGATATAATATCTGCCTTCCAGGTAAGCGCAGTGATATCTATCTGAATGTTGTTATGCTAGTTCTTCTCATTATATCTTCATATTAGCTGGATGTGTGCCTTGATGTTGTTATTTCTATGCCCCCAAAATTTACCTTTTTTTAGACCCTTGGGTGTCTGTTGATTCTTTGATTTTGGTCACTTAATAAAAATTCATGGGACAATTACTAGAAAATTTCCTGAATTAGCACAAGGAACTTGGGAAATTATGAGGACACTATGATCTTTTGTGAAGGAAATTACACTTAGATAAATACATGCAATATTTTCTATGATCTATGGTCTTTTTGTCAAGTATATGGGCAATTAGTTATGAAAAAAGTAAAGGTTTACAACCATAAGATTAAACTAAAATATACAAAGCTAAATCTCCATGGCTAGAACTGGAGGAGTTCCTGTGTTGGACACTGTGTATGTGTACAATCAACAACCGCATGGTGGTGTGTAACAAACAAATTTAACTGGTGACCTTTATTTCTATTTTAGTTTATAATTGGTGATGCTCTGTGGAGTTTGTCTTTTGTGTTAATCTCTTCCAATGCGGGCTTTTTTGAATTTACACTCATTCTATCCGAAAAGGGAGAAATTTTGCATTTTCTGGTTACGAGCAATGTGATATCTTCCTGCCATCTCTCTAAAGTTGTAACAAATATGTGAGGTATTGACACAATATTTTAGGTGGACTGGATTGTGAGTTTGGTTAGTTGGTCTCTGGTGCTGGGCACACAAACTTTGGGGGGCTCTTTCTTGTTACATTTCTTTCGGTTTTCCCTTCTTCGTGAACTGAAGTACCACTCACCATTGAGGGGCAAAGTTTGCTTTTGTTTTTCATTCTCTTTTTTTTTTTTTTTTGTTTATATGACTTTTGAGGATTAAGATAAGGACCGACTGACTGTTTGAAGTTTGTCAAGATCAAGCAATTTCATTAGAATGTCTACAATATGGTAATATGTGAAGATTAACTTCTATGACATGAATTTATCTGAAAATACCAACATATTTTGTCAAATTTGGTAACATTGTAACTGTTTCTCTTTTCCTTTTGATTGGGCTTACAGTGTTATGGAGAGTATGTAAGTGGATCAATAAGTGATGAGCAGAGAAAAAACGTTGTCCGTAACTCATGCCCTGGAGCAGGGGCTTGTGGGGGAATGTATACTGCAAATACCATGGCTTCTGCAATTGAAGCTATGGGGATGTCTCTTCCTTACAGGTAGAATTATGCACTCCCAGGGTCTTTTGGATTGGGAATTTGTCTTTTCTGCGTTTTTTCTTACCTTTTTTTGTTTATTACGAACAAGCTCTTCAATACCTGCTGAAGACCCATTGAAATTGGATGAATGCCGTTTGGCTGGAAAGTATCTGCTAGAATTGTTGAAAATGGATTTAAAACCACGAGACATTATCACCCACAAATCTTTACGGAATGCAATGGTTATTGTCATGGCTCTAGGTGGTTCAACCAATGCTGTGTTACATTTAATTGCTATAGCAAGGTGAGAATTTGTGCCAAATATCCCCTGGATATGAAAATTATTGAAAAATTGTGAAGATGAGTCGTGGAAAGATTCATGGCAGGTCTGTTGGTCTTGAGTTGACTCTTGATGATTTCCAGAAGGTTAGCGATGAGGTTCCATTTCTGGCTGATCTGAAGCCCAGTGGGAAATATGTCATGGAAGATGTGCATAAGGTAAATTAACTGAATATCTTTTGCCATCGTTCTTTTCAAGTTTCATTTTTCTTCTATAACTTATGAAGTATGAAATTAATAGCTTTCTCTATACATATCTATCCTATCTTTTCAACTTACGGGAAAAACATCACTTTTTGATAGATTGGAGGAACACCTGCTGTTATGCATTATCTTTTGGAGCTTGGATATCTAGATGGGGATTGCATGACTGGTCTGTCAATCTGGATTCGATTAACATTTCTTTACTTATTGCAATTTTAGAGTTTAATTTTTCAATATTCTTAATATTTAATACAATGATATTTCCTCTCTAGTGACTGGGAAGACATTGGCAGAAAATGCACAAAGTTTCCCTCATTTACCTGAGGGGCAGGTTGGTGCTGGTGTTTTTCACCCCAAAAGAAAATACTTTCTTCCTTCTAAATATTAAAAATTTGAGATGCAATGAAATACAACTAGTCCGATCAGTCTCAAATTTGTTTTCCAGGATATCCTAAGACCGGTGTCAAATCCTATCAAGAAAACAGGGCACATCCAAATATTAAGAGGGAATCTTGCTCCAGAGGGTTCTGTAGCAAAAATTACTGGAAAAGAAGGACTATATTTCTTTGGTTCCCTTTCTTACCCTTTCTTTCTATTTTAAGTTTGTGCTTTATGTTCATTGTGCTGCCATATGTTTTTAATAGTTATAAATCTAGTTTGCCTTCATAATAATGATTGCAAAAATTGTTCTTAGGTCCTGCACTTGTCTTTGAAGGAGAGGAAGCTATGCTAGCTGCTATCTCAGAGAATCCTATGAGTTTTAAGGTATACGTGTCAAGTGATGGCCCTCTGTGCTGAGTTTTTTATTAGCAGTTGACTATGAGAAGTTGTTTTGATTATTTTTTGTTTCAGATAGATAAGCTACTTCATTTTAGCTGATGAATGCTGTGAATTTGTACTCTTTGTAGCTGGATTTTTCCCTGTTCTTTTGGATGAACAAAAGTTATCAAAAAAAAAAAAAAAAGATTACTATGAGACCTTGATTTCATTTGTGTGCATAATTTAAGTCTTAAAATGGCAAGGCCATGGGGTTTTACTGCACGTATCTGTGCGTATCTATTTGTGATTATTGATTTCCCATGTCTCTCAACTTTAACAGTACTAATACAGATTTATATTATGTTTTTTGAGTAAAACAGTTTTTGACTGCCTTATAGGAGATTGACCAGTCCCTTTTCCTATTACATACTTCAACTGTTATGTTATCTTCTTTGATGCTTATTCATTATCTGCTTAATTTGATATCTATAATTTTTGCCAAATTTTTTCTTATGATGTTCTTTAGGATGAACTTGTTGAGTGCATTTCAGTCAAGAATGTAAATTTCAATATGCATTCCATATATTTCCATTTGCATTTGCTAAATGCTGAGCGTTATTTATGCTCGTAAATTGCCAGGGAAAAGTAGTAGTCATTAGAGGGGAGGGACCCAAGGGGGGCCCAGGCATGCCTGAAATGTTGACACCAACAAGTGCAATAATGGGAGCAGGTCTTGGGAAGGTATTGTGATATTAAGTCCAAGTGGTTTGCCACCAATGGCCTATGTTTTTGTTAATTGATCCATAAAGATGCTATTCTATAAATTTTCCAAAATATGCAAGATCTTAATCCTGTGAAAGCATAGTAAGTTACCTGCCTTGGTGTTTGAATAGTCCTAAAACTTTCCTGTACTCTTTCCGTACTTTCCTTTTACCATCTCTGCAGTTTTTTTCAACTTGAATTACATCTTTCTAACTGCTGATGTAAATATTGTCCCCTTCAAACTAGTATTTGATTTGAATGTTGCGAGTAAATACTGCAGGATGTTGCATTGCTCACGGATGGTAGGTTTTCCGGTGGTTCACATGGATTCGTTGTAGGCCACATATGCCCTGAAGCACAGGTGTAGTAATTTCTCATGCATCGATTGCATGATAATTTTGCACACCAATGAAAGACTAACGTTGTGCATTTTTAGACCTAGTTATCATTTTTATGTTTCTTTCTTAGATATAATGACATGCTTTATCCTACATGCTGGAAAACTGAAGCTCTGAAAATTTTATAATAGCTTTCCAACTCGTATTTTTTTTATAGGAGGGTGGCCCCATCGGTCTAATTCAAAACGGGGACCTCATCAGCATTGATGTTCAGAAGAGGGCGATAAATGTTCAGTTGACAGATGACGAACTAAACGAGCGGAGAAAGAAGTGGACTCCACCTACCTACAAGGCTAACAGAGGAGTTTTGCATAAGGTGAAGCTTTGCATAATTGGAACTATATTTTACCTGTATACATATATAATGTTAATCGTAGAATCTCTGAAAGAACCATCTGTTTTTCATTTTCAGTACATCAAGAATGTGCAACCAGCTTCCAAGGGCTGTGTAACAGATGAATAGGCAGGCAGGCAAATAGCCGAAAGCAGGCTGTTAATTATTAAAGATTATAGAGTGAAAACAGACGAGGTCTTTTGCAGGCAGCTTGGTCTTGGTTTCCACCTAGCTCTTCAACTTCCAGTTAGCTCCCTATATCAGCCATTGATTTTCATTTTCCTTCCTCTCATTCAGGGTTCGCTGCTTCTTTCTTAGACAAGTGTTTTGATTTGTTTGTTTTCCTAAGCCTTGAAAAACAATGTTAATGGGATTTGTATCATTGAGCAGTAGTTAATAAACTCATCCTCTGTAATATAAGTATTTCAAAAATCAGAGTGAACTGAAAACATGCTTAAATTTAATGAATGTGGGGGGTTTAACCTAAATGATTCATTCATTTTTACCAAAAAACTTGATGCAATTACTATATCACTATTTAGCATCTCAAATTTTGGCTAAAATGAAGGCCAATGGCTATTTGAGGAGAATTAAAATAAGCCAAGAATTCTTTGATGAGAAAACTTATTTTTATTTATCTCTAAGTAATAATTATTTATAAATACATGTATCTAAATTGTAAAATTTTGAAGTGTAAATTATTAAAATATTATCATAAAAAATTAAGATATTTTATATACGATTATTAGATCATTATATGCGATAATTACACGATGAGCGTACGTGACAATAATTTTAAAACATTGATTGATCATATTATTACTTTAAAAGATAATTTAATTTTCATTCGAAAAGGTGAAAAGTTTTTTATTATCAAAGTGAAGTTATATATGAAAGTGATAATAACTAATATTATTTATTTATTATGAGGATTAAAAATTTTACTTCCTAAAATTATGATTTTTTATATTCTAAATATTTATATTTTCAAATTGATATTTAGCGTAACAAGTTAAAAAGTGGATGGTCTAACCAAAGCGGATGGTTTTGAGATTGGCCTAAGACGTAAACTTGGCCCATTGTTTCTAACTAGTCCAGCAACAAATATAGCCCCATTTTTGTAGGGCTCCAAAACTTAGACCCGACCCGGCCCGGGTTATCCACATTGGCGACCCTGAAAAATTGAGGAGACAAACAAAAGCAAATGGTAAAGACGGTGGATACTGAGAAGCATTGATGGCATTAGCTTCTTAGGTTTTTGAACGATTCAATTTCTTCTGGAAAATTTCTCGCCTTTTCCGATCCCAATCCTCACCAAAAGCGGAAAAACAAAATCTGGTAACGATTTTTTTTTATTTTTAAATGTTGAAAGTCCTTTTTTTTTTTTTTACCTTCTCTGATCGTCTGATATTTTATTTTATTTGTTGATTATGTAAATCTAAAAAAATTCACTCTCAATACTGTGAAGTTTTTTTTTTTTTGGTTTTAATTTTTGGTATGATTATTTTATCTGTATCTATAAAGATTTCTTTTTTGTTTTGTTAATATCTGTTAATTCCAAGGAATTAATATTTAATTTTATTAGAATTAGAATTTTCCGGAGATTCAACAAATATTTTAATTTTTGTTTATAATAAAGACACTATTTGAATAATTATGGCCTGGATATAGGAATTGCTAGGATTTGATGCATCATGGTAGTACTAATTTTGCTGGGTAAGCATAAAAAATTGTCTCTTTTTGCTGCTAAATTGTAGAGCAATTTTGATATTTTTGTTAATTTTTTTTTTCTTTTGTATTCAATTATGATGGCATGGCTATTTGGTTCCATCTTTGCTTGGTATGTGGATGTTTAGTGTGTTCAAAGTTGTTAGGACCCAGTTTGTGTAATTTGAAGTTATAAAAATGGGTTACTTTTGCTTCTGTAAATAAAAATATTTTGTAAGCATTTGCTTGTTGCTTATCATTTCTCTATCCGCTTTTATGCTGCTTGTGGACTATATTAAAATTTTAAGAAGTGTAAAAGAGTAATGTAGGAAAGTAATGCGTTAATTTATTTGTTTTGTCGGGTTACATTGCTCTTAGATTATCATCATGAGAAGGTGATTTTTCCTGTTGTATCATTTTAGTTTGTTGTATGATGTTGTTCTTTGTTAAACTGCCTTTGGGCAGGAGAATTTCTATATGCAAATTCATTTTTTTTTTTAATTGAAACTTCATGTTGAGTTGTATGTTTTAATTGATACAGATAATGGAGGACATGGATATTGATTCAGTAGAGGACATACCTGACACTCCTGATAGGTTCTCTGTACAGCGAATGAACAGAGGGGATTGTGTTGAAAAAGAAAGTAATCTATCAGTAGCTGGTCATGTGGAAGGTTCTAATACTGCAGGTGAAGGATCTTTGGATGGGCTAAGGGGCAGAGGTAGGCTGGTTGTCAAAAATGGGTACAACAGAAAACATTATATACACCCTCGAAAACTTTCAGGCAGTGTTGATGAAATTGAGTGTCAGAAAAATACCATTGTCTTGTCCCCGCTAGAGAATGCTGAACAAAATGCTCCTTTATTTAGGAAAACAGCAATGGGGAGAAGCAGGAATTCCATTAGAGAGCAATGCATGGATAATGGAAAAGCTCCTTGCTGTAAGTTGCCTTCTAAATCATCTGGATTCCATGAAGATCATGCTATTCTGGATTTAACTGAACAGAACATGTACAACCAAATACCTGAAAGGGCATTTCCACAAGGTGGATCAAAAAATCGTGTAGCTGAAGTAAGAAAAGAAGGTCAGGTGCCAAGAAATGGTGGTTCTTATTTCTTTAACTCTTCAAACAATTCTACAACATCCAGAAGTAACTGCAAGGGAAAGGAAAAAATAGATGACGTTGGATTTAAAAGTGTAGGTTCAGTTTTGGGACATGGAAAAGGGGTGGTTCTATCCCATGGTTCTCCACTTAGAATGGAAAAACAATTGCCTGCATCTCACCATTCTGTTGCCTCGCCAAGAGCAGTTGGGAAAAAAAGATTGGTCCGAAATGGCTGCATCTCCCCCCATAATATTGCTATCAGGGCTAAACAATTGAACGAACAATACCAAAACAGCTTTAAAGCTGAGCAAAATTTTGGGAATGTGCTTAGCAACGGACCTTGTATGAGAGACAGCGAGATAATTGCTGAAGATAATGACAATGGTAAAGGAAAAGGAGTTGTCCATCCTCACGCATCTAAGGAGCCTAATATCAATTTTATTAATTTATCTGGCAGGTAAATTTTTAGTCGTGTTCTTCTATAACTGTATTTTTTTTTTTACCAATTGTCTATTGGATGCTTTCTTTCTATTGTTCATTGGTTCATTTCTTTTGGTAAAATGTATGCCAAAGAGATGGATATATTCTCTGCCAGAAGCTTTGGAATAGCATGTGATAAAAGGACAATATAGCATCTTTTTAAAATTCGGAACATGTTTTATTGATTTCAAGAGAATCATGGTGGATTAATTTGTCTATTCTTAATTTTAACTAGAAGGGTCCTTACGACTAAATGTGTTGTTTTCCTGCTGCAGTCCTATGAGTAATAATAGAGAAGCTAGTGGTATTAGTGATTCGAATAGAGGTGCATGCTTTGAAGATAAAGGTGGCTGGAGAAGGACACACAATAATTCAAGGAATTTAGATCATGCAGCTGGATGTCATTTCAGCAGATTTGATAATGTTCGATTCCAAGTGAGTCAACAAAATGAACATGGAGTTCTGAAAAGAGATAATAACACTAGTGGAGGAAACAACAGGATTGTAAGTGATTGTCCACAAAAACATGATGTAACTGAAACAGCTCCTGTGATCTCAAAATTCAATGAAATAAGTGAACCTTCTCATGCAAAAAACATGCTGCCTAAAAGGCAAACGAAACATGTATTAACCTCAAGAAATAGTGGTGAAAGCTCTAGGGTCATACCTAATGACTCAGACATTGTGTTTCTTGGTTCGTCTAGGGAGTCATCTAGTTCAAGGTCATCCAGAATTCATTTTGGGCAACATCCGGATGTTTTGGATCTTGACGAGTCATCTGAAATGAGAGGGAAAAATGCCAATAATATGGACTGTGGGAATGATGAGGACTCAGAGGCTAGGGCAAGACAAGTTGAAGCGGATGAAATGTTGGCCCGTGAACTCCAAGAACAATTATATCACGAGGTCCCAATATTTGGTCACAGTGAGGTTGATTCTGTTATTATTTGATGCTTTTTCCTTTCATTAATGGTGACTTGTTTATTTACATGCTTGAGCTTTAAATTTTGTTAACCTTTTAACAGATTGATGAAAACATTGCATGGGCACTTCAGCAGGAGGAACATGCACTCCGTCCTACTTCTATTCAGAGTCTCCGTGAGCCAGATCATGTAAGCTTGAATTCTTTTTTTTTTTTTTTTTTGAGTTAGTGATAACCTGAGGGCCTATGTTTAGTATGAAATTGACTGCACATCATGAAAACACTTATGGTTGAAGGTTTATGGTAGCTGCTAGATTTGTGTTTAAATTAGCAGAAACATGCCATACAACAGGCACGAGCCTCTTCTTTAAAAAGTAGAAGAGACTTGGATTTAGTAATGTTGACCCTAGATCCCAGCAAGGTAAATGATCAGGGTTATACATAAATCTTGATGTTAAAAGATTTTGTAGTTCATCATTATTAAAAGGCTTAAGTGTGAATTCAGAATTTGATTGGCAAATGACCTGAGCTTGATTTAAACTTGTATGTTTGAGCTTGTGAACACATGTATTATTGTTATCTTGAAACTCTAGTGCTAGCTTAGGTGGCAAAGTTGATTGCACTGAGGAATTGGAATCAAATCCCGCCATCATGAGGAACAGAGGGAAGTGGGGAGGGCTAACCCTCATTGTCTAGCCTGGTCATTGGACCTAAAACAGTTTTGAAACTCTGTTATATTTTTCCTTTTACTCTTAGCACCTTTCAGAAAAATACCAAAATATTTCAGTAAAAGGGGTTTGAGATCCCAAATCCTGCAAATAGAGACAAGTTAGCTTTTATACAGCTGTTCTATATCCCAAAAACTGGGGAGGAAGCAATGAGTTTTGTCAAGACTCTTTGATGAGATAATACTACTTGGAAGGAATCAATGGAGCCAGCATTAGAGGAAATATGCCTCTCTATATCATGTTCCCTTTAAGTGACCAGTTATTGTTAAACTACTGATAGTGACCATAATTTTTTCAGGTGTGTGCATGTGCCCTGGTGCATGCCTGCTATTATTTGGTTTGCACATGGTTCCTTTTACTGCCTGAACTTTATCCCTAATTCATTGGTCTGTCTTAAACTATATAAGTAATTTGATCTTGATGGGTGGCATATATCATTGTTTGGATGTTGAGACTCAAGTCCTTATTGGCATTATTAAAATGCTTTTTGCTTATTGATAACTCATTTTTTATCTTATCTAATCTAGTAACAACACATTCAATTTTGTGCATGCCAATAATTTTGGTTGGTTCCTAAGTGCCTGTTTGTCCCTTGGTTTCATGTTTAATGTTAGAAGTTAAAGTTTTCTTGATCATTGCTAACAGGATGCTCTTGTTCTCTCTCATCTCTGTTTCCTTTATATTTTTTCTTTTTTCAATTGAGAGACTCAATCTGTTTTCTGATTAAATATATTGGAAAGTTTTTTCTGTTCTCTCAAGTGATATTGATGCTGTGTATCTAGTTGATGTAACTTCAAGAAGTTTTGAAGGTTCTTTGATACCATTATTCCTTTTTGTGTATTCTATCTCTATGACAGCCCTATATAATGTTAAAAGTAATTTTGTTTGGAAGAATAAGTAAGAGGTTGCATAATATGTTAGGAAGCCATCCTCGCAGAATTAGTAGTTAGATGCTTTAACAGCTGTGGTTATTATTAATGAAGGCAAGGGTCCAACTTTATGAATACTCTCCTTTTGTTGCTGCAGAGTCGAATGAACTTAACTTGTTTAGACTGTTTGACTGGGGCTAATCTTTGCTAGCCGAAGAGAAGGGATACTATTTTTCATTTATGCTATTTTAATTAAGCAGAAAGACATTTTTGTAGGATTGTTTGTTTGTATTTATCAGACACTAGTATCATGTTATACACTAGTATTCGATCAAGGTTTTTCCTTTTTCTAGTATAAAAGAAATGTAGTGCTTAATCCTTTTGCAACCTTTTTTTTTAATGTACTTTAGATGGTAATCATGCTCTCTACAAGTATATGAAGTTGATTTTTTTTCCTTTTGGATTTTTGTGTAAGTGCCTCCCTGTAATATTATTCTTTGCCTCATATGCAGAGAGGCTCAACAAGGCATTCTCGTATTCATCCTCCGTTGCAGACTTCTCAGAATTCTTCGAATAGGAGAGTACATGCTGGTGTCCCTAATTCTGTTAGAGTGTCACGGTTGAGGAGTCGAGTTTTGAATCAACCTAGAGCAGCGCCATCTAGGACAAGGAATTTTCGATTTCCTTTGGGCATGGATTTGGATATGGTAAAATTTCCCCTTGTTGGCCTATCCTTTATTTCTTTACTTTTAACAATAGCTAATTTATGGCTTTCTGATACAGAGACTTGATATATTGGAAGCCATGGAGGCTGCAATTGGAGATGCTGATGACATGGGAATTGCTAGTCAAATCTTCGAAGTTCAACGTGATTTTAATGAGTAAGAATTTTCTATTATTTTTATTATTAAAACTGGAGTTGTATTGACCATATTAGACAACCGAATCATCCATTTGGTAGACAATTTATTTAGAGGTTGCATTGTTTGTTGCAATGGTAAGTGTCTTGGGCTGCAAAATGCAAGCGCGGTCCTGAGGGTTGCCACTTTATACAGATATGTTAGGTCTGTGTCCAGAAGTAGTTCCAGGTTTAGTAAGACCAGTTCTGGACAATGGCACAGTCTGCGCAATTTACATTTTTGGTAGACATTCATGCGATTTAGACATATCCAATATAGTTTCCTTAGGGTTTCCTACAAGATGGAAAATACACATCTTGGCTATTGTATTCGTGTAAAATAGGTTTATTAGAAACCACGCATCATGTATGAATATAAAATAGTCGGACACCATCCTGTTTTGGTTGAATATATCTATTGCAAGATAGAAATCATGCTACTATTTAGAGGTTGGAAATATCAGTTACACTGATAGTGAACAACTATTCTGTGAGTCTGGGTTGATGTATCTAAATTTGTGGTACTTAGCAACCCAAGAAAGTGAAGTAATAGCATTCCAAAATGGTTTATGAACCTCTCTATAAGGTGGTTTTAACATGCCCAGTTTCTCCTTTTCAATCAGTCTTGTTGACACTTCAACATCAGTCCGTTCAAAATTTTCATCCAAGCTTCAATCTGGGCACATATAGACTCCAATTTTGAGTCTACTAGCAGTTACCTTATTGCAGTTTGGTTGAAGGAAAATTCGGAGGTTGATATTTTGTAGAATAGCATGTCATTTTGTGTTGGTAGGTGTATCCTGGATAGGTAGATTATAACTAATGATCTTTCCATAGACTTAAATAATTCGTCTCTATCTTCCGTACTTGATCCTTTCTGCTTCTGTTTTATCATATTTCTATCTTTTCCAGATTTACAACTGTTACTCGAAGTTGTTATTATCTTGTCTCCTTTTCATTTTCTTGCAGAAGCGATTATGAAATGCTGTTGGCCCTTGATGATAACATTCATCAGCATGGTGGTGCATCTATTAATCAGATTAACAGTTTACCCGTGTCCAAAGTACTGGTATGTGTTTGGGCCATGTGAAAAAAACCACTTTGGGTTACCTATGTTTGCCTTTCCAGATCTAATTGGTAATTTTTGTTTTCTATTCCTTTATCAATGCAGACTGATAATTTTGAAGAAGCTTGCGCCATATGTCTCGAAACCCCCGCTATTGGAGAAACCATTCGCCATCTTCCTTGTCTACATAAATTTCACAAGGATGTAATGCCTTATATCTGGGCAATGCCACTTTGGTTTTCCTTTGCTGGGATTGATTTTAAGATGCTTATCAGAGGAAGTTAACAAGTATTTAATTTTTCTTCTTCATTCTCTTTCTGTGGCAGTGTATCGATCCTTGGCTCAGAAGGAAGACGTCGTGCCCGGTTTGCAAGTCATCTATAACTTGAATGGGAGTGTTCCAGCGCAATGAACATTATTAAAATGTCTTAAGCAAATGTTCATCAGAGATAGGTATAATTCTTTCTAATCGACTTGTTGAAAATTTTTGTTCCAGAAGCTCGTTGGCTTCTGGTGTTACTTCACCCTTTTCCTCAACTTCATTTGAATTCTGAAGAAATTGCCAGTGTTTCCAGGGTCCAGCAAATGATCATTTATTGGTATAATTCATGAACTGTTTTCACTGAAATTTGTGTTTTGGATGTTATCTTTTGCATTGCTTGTCCAGTACACAACTAGGGGATGGATCTCAGCTTGATTTGATCACGAAGTCCGCCCTCATGATGAGTGGCCATGGCTTTGAAATGTTAAAGGAGGATCATTATCTTCATTGTAAGGTATGGGGAAGAAATGACTGTCTAGAAAGTAAGGGCATGCAACTATTGTTTTGAATTTTTATTGAAAGCCAGTATTGTTTTGAATTTTTGTTGGAAAATGGTGAATCGCCTCCCTAATTATTTTTTACCGTTCTTCCCCTATCAATGGTGTATTTGACAGCCATTTGCATTTGAATCATTCATGTTGCTACCCTGCCCTCTGTTTTTCTTTTTTTTTTTTCCTAAAAAAATATTTAGTTTTTAGAAGAGAAAGTGAATTTATTTACAGAATAGAGAAAAAATACATGCGTATAATAATAATAATAATAATAATAATATTATTATTATTATTATTATTATTATTATTATTATTATTATTTGGGTAAAAATATTTTGCAATAATGTTTTACTTGGGAAGTGTATTTTTGTCAAATCTGACTTAAAAAAGAAATTGTTTTTTTATGGAAAAAAGAAAATAATGTCGTGTTCTACTTTTATTTATTTAAAAAAAACTCTTTTTCAAGAAAATTTGAATTGAGATTAGTTTAAAATTAATCGAATTTAAAGTTATTTAAAATTTAAATTTATAAGCCAATTTCGAATAAATCCAATCATAAAAATTATCATCTTTTATACATAAATATATATTTATAGAAAAATTATCAAATATATTATCACTAAAATCTTTTAACTTCACAATCAGAATTAAGTAAATGATATATATCTTTTAATATATATTAAAAAAAATAAATAACTAAAAAAGATTAAAAAAAAAATGTAAGTTTGAGTGAAGATGAAAAATTGTACTATTACTTAAGTTTTTGGGCTGAAATCTAAATTGAACCGTTTTCATTTAAGCTTTTAAGGTTAAAAATTAAGTGTGCCGAATAGAAAAGATATTTTAGATATAAAAGTGTTGAAAAGATCCTTACGAAAATTGAAGAGAAGATTCAAAATTTATTTTGTTTGGATATGTTTATTATTAAATATAAAATACAAAAATATTTAAAATATAATAAAGATTAAGTGAAATTTATATTTTCTATTTGGCACACCAAGCTTCCAACCTCAAAGCCAAATAAAAAATATAATTAAGTCATATAGAAAATATAATAAAGCCTATATTAATAAAGTGAAAAATATGATTTTTGATTATATAAATTAAACATAATTAAACAATAATTATTTAAAAAGCTTTTTCTTCAAAAGGATTTTATTATTATTTTTAAGTTAAAAACAATCATGTATACATAAAATAATGAAAAAACTTTTAATAAAAAATAATTTACCCCTACAAAGTGGGGCCGAATTCTAGTATATATAGTTCTTATGGTGCCAAAATCTTCCATCTGTGGGGCTATATATGATGTATAGCTGAGAATTAATTTCATGAAAATGTCAAGATACATTCAGACATATGAAGAACTCTGTTTCAGTTTTCTGTCCAAAACAAATCTGACTTATTGTTACACTGCTTTATTAAAAATTCCAGCCCAATTTAGAATAACCTTGACAAGAAATCATAGCAGCTAACAAAAATATAGTATTCTTATCGGGCATCCTTGGATAAGAGGTTGTTAGTTTCAACTTTCCTGGCATTGCAGAGCTCATCCGTACAATCACCCCTTTCAAAAACGGCCGCTGCCCCCATCCCTGTGCCTGCATGAAATCTGTGGTCAGCAACTCTCTGGCCAGCATACAACAGAAGAGGGAGAGAGATAGAGAGAGAAAGAGAATACCTATACACATTGAGATCACTCCGAAGCGGGAGTCTTTGCCGCGCCGCTTCATTTCATGCAGAAGTGTAGCAACGCAACGAGCACCTTCAACAAAAGCACGAAAAGTGTTACCATTAACATATGGTGAACTAGTGTCACATTCTTATCGTGCTTTAATTCTAACGGCAATGCATACATAAGTCATATATATTATAAGGAGACCATCCAATTTCTTGCATTATAATTACAAGCACCACTTAAGATACTCGGATTCACATGGATGTAATCGTGTGAGTAGAAAACTGACGGGTAGTCATTTTGAGCATAGATTATCTTTAGTAACTCTAAACACATAATGCCAATAATTTACACACAGAAACAACAAAATTGTTTAAACTCTGTTTGTGTTAGAAATACCTGTTACACCCAATGGATGTCCAATTGCCATTGCACCTCCATTAACATTAATCTTTTGTGGATCAAGTCCCAACTTCTTACGGCAATATACAAACTGGGATGCAAATGCCTGCAATAGAGGATGATATTAGAGACTTTCATTATTGTAATTCTCTTTACTTAAATAGGATGAGGCTAAATCATAAACTACATTGTACCTCATTTATCTCAAAAAGATCAACATCATCAAGTTCCAGACCAGCAGCTTTAACTGCTGCAGGAATTGCCACAGCTGGACCAACACCCATGATGGCAGGATCCACACCAACTGCAGTAAAAGTCCTGGAAGATCAACAAATACTTTCGTAAATTAATAGAAAATTCCATGTTTAAAGAATGAGAGCCTGGGCTGGTCAACAAAACAAATAACTCTGTATAACCTTGGTTCCTATTAAACTGAGTTGATAATATAACAAAATAAAATACAACCAGGAAAAAGGAAAAATCTCCTAAGAATGTAAGGGATGCAAAATGGAAACAACCAAAACTTAAAAAGAATGTAACTGTCATACACCATATTTTGAGACACAGTCATGCATGCTTGAATAATAAGGTAGTTTAACACAACGAGGTTACTAATAAAGAAATAGAAATTGAACAATCCCATATTGATAACACTTCAAAGGAAAAAAAAAATTAAAAAAACAGATAACATTGAAAGTAGACAGTCATGCATTTTAGAAACCAAAGCAAGAAAATTAAAGCTTAGAATATGGCCCTCACAACAGATAGTCGAAACGACAAGAAATTCAAGTAGACACCTAGCAAGCCCATAAGACAACAGATGTAACGGCACAGAGAGTACCGGGTTCATATAGGCTACAATTAAACCTAGAGGTATTGCTCACATTTTATTTTATAAGATATAACAGAAGGATATGAAACCAGGCATCACACACCTGAATACACCTAGAATTGGTAGCCCTTTGTGCATCGCAACACTTCTTTTCATAAGCAGAACAGCACCAGCGCCATCGCTCACTTGACTAGAATTTCCTACAATACACGCAGCATACAAGTAAATACGCTAAAACCAATAAAGCAGCATAATCTTCCAGAGAGAATACAGTGCATCATTCAATACCAGCAGTAGTGCTCCCGCCTTTCTTGAACACAGGCTTCAATTTTGCCAGATCCGACAATGAAGTGTTAGGTCGGATCCCATCGTCAACAGAGATTGTGACAGGTTTCTCTTCACCAGTCTTTGGATCAACAATCTTCATAAATGAAATATTATACTCCAAACATAAATATATTGGCACAAAGCTTTCTGTGCAAGTATATCAAACATAGATTATATCTATATGATGAAAAGAAACAGTAGCTACCTTGGTGGCCACAGGGATTATTTCATCTTTAAATTTACCAGAAGCTGTAGCAGCAGCTGCTTTCCTGTGAGATTCAACCTAACAACCAGAATTTAAGAAAATTAATTTGTATATAGATAATTTGCAATTCCATACTGCATGAGAATCATTCAACTTACTGCAGCCTGATCCTGCTCCTGCCTTGTCACACCAAAGCGATGAGCAACATTCTCTGATGTAACACCCATAGGAAGAAGACAATTCTGAGCTTGCTCCATCTGCTTCACCTGCCAAAATCAGCAAAAGATCATGTCATGCCTAAAACTCCTGTATTGTTTGGCTATCGGCAGAATGATAAACAAACGAAAGCACACAAAAAGAGAGAGATAGAGTACCCTTGGGTTAACTGATCCTTCCCAAGCCATTGGATTAGCAGTCATGGATTCCAACCCAGCCCCAATGCCTACATTACAAGTAGTTATTAATGAAAATACAATGCAGCATTTTATAAAGAGAGAATGAAAAATCATCAGAAGTACAGGTTTCCTCTTACCAATGTCATAAAACCCTGCTTTTATCGCTGCAGCTACATCAGCAACTGCCTGCAGCCCAGATGCGCATTGCCGGTTCACAGTTCTAATAGGCACAGTTTCTGTATCACCACAAAATTTACTACTATCAACCAACAAGACAACGACAAAATATAAATCCACAAAAAAACAATCAAGGATATATATCTATACCGGGGAAGCCAGCATAGAATGCAGCCATCCTACATTCACTTGCTCGTTGGGATCCCGGTGCCAAGACCGTTCCCACAACAATATCCCCAACTTCACTTGGATTCAATTTCGTTTTCTCTATCAATGCCTAAACTCAACATAGCCACAACAACAACAACAACAATAAATAAATTTATCACTAAAAAATGACATTAAAAAGAAAAACCAAAACCAAAATCAAAACGAAAAAAAAAGGGACAAACCCTTAAAACAGGTGCAAGTAAATCATCAGGATAAGTATCCTTGAAACCGCCTCGTTTGGATTTGCAAAGTGCAGTCCTATATGCTCTGTAAAATTAATAATTCCATAATTAAAACAAAGAATTCCAAATAATCTTAATTATTTCATAACAAAAAATTGCAATAATTATTAAATAATCAATTAAAGAGAGTGACTTACGCTACTATAACCACATCATCTCCAAACACATTAGTCCTTTGATAAGCAGCGCTATCTCCAGCTAAACAAGCCGATGCCTGAGGAATTTTTGTCAAATAAAAAATAAGATCTTTCGACAGAAATCAAGAATCAAAGAAAAGAACAAACCTTTGATCCAAAGAATCAAAGTTACACTAAGATCTAGCTGAGAATATTAACATAGAGCTTACAGAGAGGGCAGAGTTGTAATTTTGCTCGGACGAAGACGAAGGAGCTGAAGGGTTGAGGTGTTGGAGCAAAATTTGCTGTCGATTGATCGCTTTCTCCATTGTGTGACGAGGTTTCTGTTTGGCCTCCGAGAAAAGAAGGGAAAATTGGGATGAGATTTTCTTTTTATTTTCGGAGGGCTTGATTGGGCTTGATTTCTTCAGGACA